TAATAAGTGTGAAATATATAACCAAAGTTTCTTAGTAAACCTAAAGAAACGCGTTGTCGGCAATAACAAGCTGGCATATTTCATGCAACAGTAAGCCAATAAGTTGGAAGTCCAAAACATTTCCCGTCAGTTGCATGCAAACTGCAAGAAAAATGTTTAGGCCCAAGTTTGACACGTATTTCCAATAATTTCTGATTAAGAGTTGTATTCAACAGAGGTGTAACCGACGGGCAACACATTTCCTAAAATACCTTGTTGGTCAGTTGCATGAAAACTGCAAGAAATTTGTTTCCGCCCAAGATAGCCGCTTATTTTCAATAGATTCCAGTCAACAATTGTATGCAACAGAGGTGCAACGGACGGCCAACATATTTCCCACAATAAAGAACCGCGCTTGCGCGAGAGTCCTCGCTACCGTTGCTCACCATTTGTTCTTTATAATTTATGGTTTGTTCTGCGAGTGTGTGTAGGTACGACGTGTTGATTAATATAAACAAGAAATCTATCAGGTATGTTTTATGCACGCAATAGTTATCTATTAGCTTTAGCTGTACCTATATCCATATGGAAAAATCTAAAAATCCTTTGAAAATAAAAAAAAATACAAAAAAGAAACCAAGACGTAAGTAAATTTTTAAATAATTTGTTATATTGAAGTGAAACTTCTTTCGGCATGTACCTAAATAGAGGCTATAGCCTCTATATATAAAAATGTAGGATTTTTTGAAGATGTAGTTTTTTCTTTGAAGTATTATAATTTTATAAGGGTTTTTATTCAAATAACATTAATTTATTTAAAATTTCAGAAGCTATTATAATAGCGGTAATTTTAAATTAATTAATTAATGTAATATCTTTTTTGTATACAAAAATTTGTTGTAGTATACTACAACAAATTTTTATAAAGCACACCTTACCGCCCTTGTAAAATTTGCATTTTTGAACCAATTTTTATCGCTCTTAAATATATTTGTATACAATACCAGCTAGGCATTTTTTAATTTTTTGATAATCAAAAAAGTGCCGCGAATAAACACATTTAGTGGATATTTTAATAGAACCAAATGCTTCCCAAGAAACGACAAAATTTACCATAGTGTAAAAAATTATCAAATTATTAATTAAAATCTGACTGAAAAAATTGTCAAGCCAACCGTTAATAAATTATTTTTATTTTTCAGATTGATTATGGGGCCTTTACACATTCATAAACTGTTCAGGAAGTTTATCTCCGACGAGATATGCAATATACATGGGGGGATGAGCAAGGCAATCATCCCCTTTACAACCCTGGTCTTGTTAGGGCTATTTATGTTAAATAATGTTTTATACAAACTAAACATATGTTTATTGCTAAACATATATTTATTGCAGGAGCTGTGGGTACCAATAAAAACTTTGATCCACCAACGCGTGTTGAACTTCAAAGAGAGGTAACGGCGAGTGGCAAAAGTTTTGCCGCAAAACAGCGTCAACGTATTACCGCTAAAGCCTGATTTATAGATTTCCTTCCTTCCTTCCATCCTTCCTCTCATAAAAGATGAACAATACCAAAAAACGTAGTGCCATTTATAGATTCCCGTATGGGAATCTTTAAAAAGCACAACGGTTTTTGTATTGTTCATATTCTACGGAAGGAAGGAAGGAAGAAAGGCAATCTATAAATCAGGCTTAAGCGTCGAGATCCAAACGTAAACAATGAAGATTCCATAAGGCTGCGCCTGTTTGAAGCCGATAATTTATATAATAATAAATATATTTATTATTCTCGGCTGAAGGACGAAAGTCAATGGCCTTTTGAAAAATGTATTTTTTTCAATAAAGAACATTTATTATTATTATTTATTATTATATAAATTATCGGCTTATAAGGTTATTCTGTTGTGTATATAAATATTTATAATATTTTATTTCTTTGTGAATATAGGTATTTTTGTAATAAAACGACGTTTGAAAAAATTCGAGTATGAAAATTTACGCCTAACCCTCTTGTTAAAATAACAATAACAATAAATGAGGCATTACTGAATTTGGTGGCAATTTGCCGATAACGTATCGGAAATTAAAATGAATAGGTAAATGAAGCGTTTGGAACCAGAGTGGCCTAACCCACAAATGTTTTTTCTTAAATGATGTTACAATCATTTTAGGACAATATATTTTTCGGAAATGAAAAACTTTGTTAAAAAGAGCACCCAAATATATATACATATATATTGTCCTAAAATTATAACCCCATTTTAGAATAAATGTTTGTGGGTAAGGCCACTCTGGTTCTCAACGCTTCATTTATTAATTTATTTTAATTTCTGATTCGTTATCGGCAAATTGCCACCAAATTTAGTGAATTTGAATAGGTAAATCATTTCCTATCCATTGCTCACAATCAGTATACGCAAAAGGTTTCCCGTGTGTTGCCGGTGGGTTGCACACTATAAGTTGTCAGGAAACATTTCCGCCTATAAACTCTTATGTTGTCCACAATAATTATAAGCAAAAGGTTTCCCGTCGGTTGCCGGTGGATTGCACACAATATATTGTTAGAAAAGATTTTTGTCTACAGACAGTCAAATGGTGGCACCCACTTGACAGCAAACGGCTACCATATCAAGAGAACGAATAGTAGGCAACTGACCGGCAAACGGAAGGACGCTGGTTATCTGGGTAGGCACCTATTTGCAACTGTCAGGTTTCATAACGGCAATTTAACATTGTTATATAACAATGTTACTCCTATGAGTGGGAAATAGGAACCTATTTGCAACCGTCAGGTTATGTAACTGTAATATTACTATCGTTACATAACATTTTGGTTAATGTTACGTAACAGTTATGTATCATTTTCATAACGGCAATGTAACATTGTTATGAACAATGTTACTCCTATGAGTGGGAAATAGGAACCTATTTGCAACCGTCAGGTTATGTAACTGTAATTTACTATCGTTACATAACATTTTGGTTAATGTTACGTAACAGTTATGTATCATTTTCATAACGGCAATATAACATTGTTATGTAACAATGTTACTCCTGTGAGTAGAAAATAGGAACCTATTTGCATCCTTCAGGTTATGTAGCTGTAACGTTACACATCACAATCGTTAAATAACATTTTATGTAATATTACTATCGTTACATAACATTTTGGTTAATGTTACGTAACAGTTATGTATCATTTTCATAACGGCAATATAACATTGTTATGTAACAATGTTACTCCTGTGAGTAGAAAATAGGAACCTATTTGCATCCTTCAGGTTATGTAACTGTAACGTTACACATCACAATCGTTAAATAACATTTTGGTTAATGTTACGTAACAGTTATGTATCATTTTCATAACGTGCAATGTAACATTGTTATGTAACAATTGTTACATAACACTAATATTACTCCTATAAGTGGGAAATAGGAACCTATTTGCAACCTTTAGGTTATGTAACTGTAACGTTACACATCATATTTGTTACATAACATTTTGGTTGCTGTTACTTTACAATGTTGACCTTTTTTTTGGCAAAGAGAAGAAGTTTGCCCACAACCGAAAAGAAGCAACGGAAACCTCGTCGGTGGAGTGTAAGACCAGTGAATAGGGACAGAGAAAAAAGGGTGAATTTCGTCAAATAATACTCAAACTAAAATTTCACGATGAGTTATGGTTCTTTAGATACAGAATACACTTGAAAAACATCTGTCATCTGTTTGCATGGCCGGCTGATTGCTACCAACAATGTTCTAGTGAAATCATGAAAATTACTAAAATTCACACATAAGAAACCCGTAAAGTTGAGTTCATTTCAACTTTACGTATTTTTTACGGTCACCCATAAGATCTTATGTTCGAACGTAAAACGTAAAAATTACGGCTACTCATTAAACAAATAAAATATTATAACAGGCACACTAGTTTTGTTAATACCTATTTAACTTTACGTTTTGCTTATTTCTTACGGACATCTTATTGTTACGTCCATTATGAATGAGCACTAAGACTTATTCAGACTTTTTCCGACTTAATAAGTCTTATTCAGAGTTTTTAAGAGAAAGTAAGACTTACTACTCTTACTTTTACTTATTAAAACTTTTTCAGAGAAAAATTTCCACGAGGGAATATTTTAAAATATTATACTTACGTTTACATTCGGGAAAGTTAAAATATTCTGGAGCGCATTCCTTGCAGAATTTTCCTCCAAAGTTGAATAGACAAGGACACTTTCCATCAAAAATTGAACATTGAGCATTTTCAGTTCCATTAAGGAAACATTCGCAAGGTTTACAAGTTGGATAATCATAATAGCCAAAACTACATGTGTCACAATCAGGTGAAGTATATTGTTTTTTACATTCACACCGTCCACTGCTTTCGGCACAATTACCAGTAGATGTAAAGTGATTACAGTTGCACGCTAAATAAAACGTTTATATAAGGTTTTAATTAATGACATATATCACTCTAATACTACAACTAGATCTTTTTATTTTAAAGAGCACATAATAGGTATATACCTATTATGTACTCTTTATATCTATAAATATATCTGTATATCTATAAATAAACATATGTTTATTTATAGATATATAAATGTATATCTATAAATAAACATATGTTTATTTATAGATATACTTAGTGGCAGATCCAGGATTTCTGTTTGGGAGGGGCTTGACCCAGCTGAAGGTAAACACTAATAAAGCACCCACAATTTTATTTTGCTTATTTAACGCTCTTTCAAAATAGTAATTTCTTCCAATAACAGTTGAAGATGAGGCAAATCGCTGATGTAAACATCCGCAGAATTCAGATTTAGGGGGCTTGAGTCCCTTGGCCTTCCCTGGATCCGCTACTGGAAATACTTATACGTATGTGTAAAAATTAAAAAATAAAGAATATTCCAATATTAATTATTATTATTATTTAATATTTATTATTTCAAAACGGTTTTCATTGGTTATCTTATCTTTGTATTAAATTTATTAAATTAAATGATTTATTAACATACGTTGGCAGACATCAGTTTCATTCCAATGTTTGTTGTTAGGGCGAAAGAATTTATCTTTGCATTTGTTGCAATTTATTCCTTCAGTATTATGTTGACAATTTTGACATACACCACCACCCTCATATTTGCCAAAAATATCAAGAGATGAGCGTTTTTTATTAATTTCCTTATCGTAATAACATTCATTGCTATGATTAAAACAATTACAGGCTAAAAATATAAAGTTAAGTACTAAGGAAAACATTATTACTCTGATTAAACATACGTTCACATTTAAATGGATCATTGTGTTTAGATTGCCTCCAAGCTTTCTGTTCAAATCCAGAACAGCATGAATCACATTTAGCACCACAAGTATTGTGTTGACAGCGACATAAGAGGACTCTATTATCCTTTGGATCAAGAATGTCACAAGTTTGAGCATGACCATTACACATACATCTTCCTCCTATGCTTATATCTTTTATAGAATAAAAATACTGTAAAATTAAGTAATAATTAATAATTATACACTATTGTTTAATTAAAAACATACTCTTCTTGTAACTGTTGGATCTTCTTTGGCCACAGACATTAAGTGACCTAGTAAGTTTTTAGTTCGTAAAAATCTTAGTCTTACATTGGTTGCACGGGTCCACTCTTGTAAAACAGTAGAGTTAAAGTAATGATTTGCGGAAGGTCTTTTGTTTAGAAGGGATATGGGTATCTAAAATATAATTGTACAAGTTTAGTTTTAGTTTTTCTTGCGTATTATGGTAATTATACCTTTTTTTAATATTTACAGCGTTTTAATTCAATTACTTTTTTAATTTGTTTTTAGTTTTTTTTTTTAATAATATAAGTAGGTATCGTTGGAACTCGCCCACCAATTACCCACTAACCCTGTAAGTACCTAGTGTCATTTGTTTAAAAATTTATAAATCATTTACGAAGACGTAGAAGGGCCAACAAAAATTTTACAAGTTTTAGCCAAAACTAACTTTGATTTTTGCAATTTCTATTGTAACTTGAACTTACAATTGTAACTTGAACTTACAATTGTAGGCTCAAGTTACAATTGTAAGTTCAAGTTACAATTGTAACTTGGGCAGAAGTAGTGATAAGAAACAGAATAAAAGCATTGAGTAAGATGTTGCAACATCTTACTCAATGATAAAAGCATAAACATTCTCTAAATAAGTAAATTTCCTTCTTACAAGATCGATTCTGCACTAGGAGTGGGCAAAATAATCGATTAATCGATTATTTTATTATTATAATAATAATTATTATTATTTAAATAAAGAATGTACTATCTGTCCACGATAAGTTGGGGGGACCGAATGAATTAAGTTATTTAGTTATTCAACAATAATTGTTGAATAACTAAATAACTTAATTCATTCGGTCAATTATTGTCGTGTTGTGTGCTTTTAAAACGTATTTTTTTAATATAAATAATAATATTATATAATTTATATATATATAAATAATAATAAAAACATAACTGAGTAGGTATGTTTTTTAATACCTATTATATAATAAATATTTATCTAAATTGCATGAACATTTCTTTGCTCCGCCAACTTATAATGGTCAAACGCATTTTTTTTAACTAAAAATATGATCGATTAATCAAAAAATCGATTAATCAATAATTATTATCGATTATAATCGATTAATCGAAAAATTCGATTATTTTAGATAATCAATAATCGATTATGAATTTTAATAACAAGAATGTTTCATCATTTGTCCATTCTAAATTTTGGTAAATATGTTGATGAAAAAGATATTTAAAAAAATTAAAGATGGTGTTTTTGAGAAATGTTAAAAAAAATGTTTTTTTTTTAAATTTCCAATTTAAAAAAAAGTTTATCATGTGATACATCATCTAAAAGGGCTTTAAAAGATATTTAAAACAATGCTCTGTGACAATCAGTTCCTGAGATATATCTGTTTTTTTAAGAGACTAATAAATAATTGGTAAATTTTTTGATTTTCAAAAATCTATAAAAGAAAAAATACTGTTCAAAAAAATTTTGTGTTTTCAAATTTTTCAATGGGAAGAGCGACTGTACCAAAATTCATTATAATTATAATCGAAGATGGTGCATTCAAAACCTTAGGTTGATTAAATATGAAATTACCCTTTGTCAATAGTTTCAATAAAATAAAATTTTACTGGATAGTAGTTTGGTACAAACGAGCAAAAATTCAAATTTACTGCTCTAACACAAAAAGTGTTTTTTTGAAAAGGTTGCTTTTTAAGGTTATATGAAACACTGCCTAGAAAACATAAACAACAAAGAAATTATGACCCAGAAAATATTGAATATCACCCTGGCAGAGGTGATAAACAATCTTGTATGCTTTGGGCAGGCTGATACCCTCTTTCATGTTTCCAAACTTTATACAGCATATATAGAGGGAATTATTTTAATGTATTTGGGAGGCCTTTTGCCTTAAGTGAAATTAAACAAGACCACAGAGGAGTGATAATTAGTTGTTTTAAAGAAAAACTTCTTGGCAACGACTGTCTGAAAATATAAAAAGATCCGAGTAGAAGTTCATGATGTAATAAACCAATATTTTTACAAAACTAAAGAAAATAAGAGATGCTTTGCCAGGACCTGGTAACCCAGGGAAACAAAAAGTTTTTGTGAATAAAGGAAACAAACACACTCAGAATATTAGACAATTCTTTAACTTCCGTTATGTTTGCTGCCACTGGAGGAGTACATTTACAATTCTATATTGTCTACCAGGCAAATCTTTAATTTTTTTTCTAGCAACCCTCAAAGGTTTTTATATCAATAAATTAAAACCATGTAAAACAATTTGGAGCATTTTAAGGGGAAAAAGCTTTTGCATTTAATAAATAAATTTGTATAGGTACTAATGTCTATAAAAAAATATTATTCATTATTATTATTTTTACAGCTTGTACAATAAATTTTTTTTGAAAGCAAATCCATTTTTTTATATATTTGTAATTACTAAAATTTACCCTGTAAAGCATCAAAACCTGGATATTAAAAAAATTTGAACTAAAAATCATCAATCAGGTGCACCTTCATTGTTAATTTTTTATTGAGACTTGTTGTATTTCAACTAATTAGGTAATTAAATATATTATTTTTATTTTTGTTAAGTAATTTATAGTTTTTATAATCTTTTATTTAGAAAAATTGTAATTGTAATAATAGGCAATATATTTTTTTAGTACCTAAAACTGCTCTTAATTGTTATTTTTTTTATTTAGCCAGGCATTGGTATATTAATCGGTTTTTTTACCGTACGGTACGTATAAATGATATTTTACTACGTAAACGCGAGATAAACGTATATAACCTGTTAAAATTAAACGCGTATTTCTACTATAATAATTGGCATACTAATAAATGTTTAGACTTTCGGCTTTTTTAAATACTGTGGCTTGGTACAACTTACCCATAGCGTTTGGCGCATTTATATTAGGGATGTTAAATGTATCAATAGTTATCGATTATTATCGATAAAATTGTTATCGATATTTATCGATAATTTTTTAAATTAATAATACTTATCGTAAGTAATATCATAAGAGCATTTAATTTTTCCGAAAAGAATCGAAAAAACACGTTGCTAAGTAATATTTTAACAAAAAGCATGAGTGCTGGTGGCAACAAAAATCCGAGTCGAAGAGGAGGATTTTTGCACCTGCACGAATGCATTTTGTTAAAAAATATTACTTAGCATTGTGTTTTTTCGATTTTTTTCACAGGAAAAATTAGATGCCCGAATGGTATTTGACAAGACTATTTCATGAGTAACAGTTACCAATTAAAATATAAATTGCAATTTTTGGTGACAACAGCAGCTGCTGTCAAGTTTTGCCGCGGGTAAACTCGAATAAACTGCTGACAGGTGCTGTCACACAATTTTTTCACCTAGAAACCATTTGTAATTCAAAATTGCGCGTTTGTGATTGGTGGAAATTAAGACGAGGGAAATAGTCGATAAAAATTCTTCGAATTTCTATATATTTTTCTATTTTCCGAATTTACTTTTGTTATTGGATTTTCCCGCTTATTTTGTTGTTCCTACCTATAGTCATAGTCTATAGTACTATAGTTCAAAAAGAGTAAGAATATCCCATAGACAAGAAACGACTAGACGTATAACTGGTTGCAAAAACATTCTTCAACATCCACGGGATTTTAAACCCGCTGTCTGTAAACAAACCGCGATTTTGGACCCTTGGACCCAAATCAACGAAGCGAAACATTAGACTTTATACGTCTAGTGGTATCTTGTCTATGGAATATCCTAGGGTCCCTATAGGGACCCTAGGATATTCCATAGATATATATATATAGATATATATATCTAGTGAAAACTCGTCAACGTACTTAAATTCATATTCATTTATTTGATAATGTGGTTTAAAAAGTACACCAAAATTTATTTTTATTATTTATTTAAAATTATAATAATGACTTATTTGGTTTTAAGAACAATTTTTGATTATTAAAAATAGTTCTTAAAATCACATAAAATATTTTTTAGTGGGGGAAGTTAATGATACTTATCGATAATTATTTAAAAATTATCGATAAGTATCGATACATTTTTTTTATTGATATTAACATCCCTAATTTATATACCCAACAATAAGAATTTTTTTTTTTAATATTTAAGGTAGAAACATTTTCGTTTAATAAGCTAATCATTCAATTTTCTTAGTTTCTTCAAGAAACTTCCTTGACCCATTATTATTCAATACAATTTAAGTGCGTTCCACTAACTTCCACTTCCACCCATACTGGGTTTCAACAGTTTCGGACAACTTGTAGTGGTAGCATAACCAATTTGGCTAAACCAAAACTAAGAACTACCTGAGCTTAAATACTATCCAACTAAGCCAACAGAGGCGAGATGCAAGAACATCACGTGATCCACACCGCCTTTGCCGCGATCGGTACATACTATGCAACCAAAAATGCACGGCAAATAATAAACGTTAATAAAACAAATATTTCTAAAGGTGTAATAAACGATATTATACATATAAACTAAAAATAAACGAATACATGCTACAATTGCTTTTATTTCTAACAAAAATAAACGTTTTATATATAGTAAACTCCTTATTCTTTTTATACGTTGTTCAATATAGGTATTTTAAACGTAGTGGTATATTTAAAAACGTATAGTTTGATAAAATAAAAATGTATAGTTTATATCATCTAAAATATATGTTCAGAAAATATACTGATACCAAATTTAAACCATTTTTACGTATAAAAAACGTTTATTATACTAAGCTGTGTTGCCTGGGTATGTTTATGTTTGTTATATTTGAATTTGTTTAGTTATTATTTAAATAAGATTTTTTAATTTTTATTCATATTAATTTAAAAGTTGTATTATCCTGTTTTTGGAATATTTTTAATATATTGAATATAGGCAATTTTTTTTTAAATACCCAAAACTTCTTTATTGTAAATTTTTTGTTTAAGCTATTTTGTTATATTTTAATTTGTTTACTTTAAGTATAATATTAGACTTTTATTTAAATAATATTTTTTAGATTTTGTTAATTGGCAATATTTTTGTATTTGTTTTTTTTTTTACAAAAAATATTTGTAATGTTTTTAAATATTTTTTTATTTTTCCATTAATTTTGGCAGTGTAAAATCCTACCCAAAATTATTCAAAAATCAAACTTTTTATAATACAATAATCCCGCCTATTTCCAACGTTTTATAATACACAAATCCCATGTATTTCTAACGATTTATAATACATAAATTCCACATATTTTCAAGGTTGTATAATACACAATTTCTACTAGGGGTAGCTTTACCGCAATATTCAGTTTAATGTATCAAGGCATGGTTTTAGAAAGATTCTCTTTCTAAAAACTAAAATGTTAACTTTTAGATTTTCTTAATTAATTTTACTTGCCACTTTTAGGAAAATATACCTTATAAAAATAAGAAGATACATATTAACATATAATGCTGGGTTTTTTAAAGAGTAATTAGGTATTTACTAAAATTTGACCAGAATATTGTTTTTTATATTTAATTTACTTACTTCTCCGCCCTCCAGAGGAACAATTTTTGAGTATTCGGTACTACAAATTACAGAATCATCTTTTGTAATTGGCAACAAACTTTCTTTTCCAAAAAATTTTTCACAATCATTCGGGGAATCAGAAAAATATTGCCAAGGTGTAAAAGTTCGTCCATAATCAGCAGATTTTTCCAAAATCCAAAGACCAGGTCTTGGTGAATTTGCCATTTTAATATAAACATAAGCAACATGAAATTCCTAAAAATATAACATTATGGTTTAAAATTGCAATAAAATGTTTAATAAATATAACGGATTTTATCGTTAAGTTTTTATTTCCAGATTAATTTTTTGTAACACTAAAAACAATGATATTACTTAGTCAAGTGATATTATATTAATCTCTCGTGTACAAGTAATTAAAACTGGTTTAAGAATGCCAGAATGCCTAGAGCAACAAAAGGCAACAAAGTCTGCCTCATCTGGTCACCAGGGCATTTAGGTATTCTAAGGGTATTTCCGACAATATATATATATATATATATTATATATATATATATATATATATATATATATATATATATATATATATATATATATATATATATATATATATATATATATATATATATATGTATATATACAGGGTGGAAACCTTAACTGGAATAAATTCTGTATTTTGAAAACCACTTACTTTTTTAAAAAATCCAAAAACAGGTCAATTTATAAATTTACCTGGATAAATTGTGGTAAATCTTAAAAATATAAGAAACCACCCTTTGAGGGTGCAACCAACCCTAACTTTTTTTTTCAAATGCAAAGGTGTATCAAGTGATACATCATTTGAAAGCTTGTTTTAATAGGAATTCATACAAATATGCAATTTTTAATTATTTTATTTTTGTACAATTATAAATAATAAAAACTTTATTTTATGATAAATATGGATTTATTATAAAAGATGATCAAAATGAGCTCCTCTGGTTTCTTGACAAAATCCTAGACGATTATAAAATTCATTTTTACCCTTTCCAACATCTCAGGTAATATTAATTAATAGTAAATAGTAATTAATATTAAGTTTCGTGTCGGATACTCTCTTTAACATCTTCAATATTAGTTGGTTTGGTTACATAAACTTTATTTTTAAGGTAACCCCACAGGAAAAAATCCAACGGGGTAAGGTCTGGAGATCGGGCTGGCCACTCAACTGCACCTCTTCTACCAATCCACCGATTAGGAAATATTTCATTAAGGTATCGACGAATGCGTAGTGCGGTTGAGCTCCATCTTGCTGAAACCAGACTCTATTATCTGGTAAGTCTGGATCATTCTCGTTTGGAAACTGAACTGCCAAATATGGTATAAGGTCTTCTTGAAGAAAAGTTAAGTACCTTTCGCCATTTAAAGTTTCGTTTAAAAAGGCGGGACCAATTATTCTATTACCAATTATTCCAGCCCAAACATTTACCTTTTGTGAATCCAATGAGGATTGTTGTCGTTCCAATATCTACAATTTTGACAATTAACTTCATCATTTAAAGTAAACGTACTTTCATCGGAAAATAGTATCAAATCCAAGGAAATTTGGTTATCATTAATAAGGTTCACCATTTGCTCGCAAAGTTCAATTCTGCGATCGGTATCATCCCCAATTAGTTCCTGTACTGCTTGCATCTTATACGGATGCATTTTTGAAGCATGTAACTTCATAACAGTGGTGTGGCTCAAATCGTTCTCGCGAGCAATTTGTCAAGCTGAAGTAACAGGATTTTCTTGGATTGCTAATAGTACATTAAGCTTCGTATTGTCTTCAACGATAGGCTGGCGTTTTCTAGGAATATTTCTTACATGACCATTTTCGTGATATTTTGCTTCTACTTTACTAACAGTCCCTTGGCAAATGTGAGGCAATTCTGGATGCGTTTCGTTAAATAATCGTGCCACTTCTGTCTGATTTCGACGTCTATCACCAAATCCAATCATCATTAGAATCTCAATACGCAAAGTTTAAGTTAAATAAGACATTTTTACAGTCAATTTAGAATACGTTACTTGCAACTAATTTTAAAGAACTAAAATACATTCTTTCGGTTGAATATACAACGTTTTTGGTGGATATAAAAAAAGTATTTATTTCTTTAAGGTACCAAAATAATATAATTAAAAATTGCATATTTGTATAAATTCCTATTAAAAAGAGCTTTCAAATGATGTATCACTTGATATGCCTTTGCATTTGAAAAAAAAGTTAGGGTTGGTTGCATCCTCAAAGGGTGGTTTCTTATATTTTTAAGATTTTCCACAATTTACCCTGGTAAATTTATAAATTGACCTGTTTTTGGATTTTTTTAAAAAGTAAATGGTTTTCAAAATACAGAATTTATTCCAGTCAAGATTTCCACCCTGTATATATATATCTATATATATAATATATTATATATATATATATATATATATATATATCAACCTGTTGGCAAAAAGCGGTTCAAAGGAAGCACCCACCAATAGGTCAAGAACCATTGTGGGGTTATATTAGACAGTATATCAAGAAAGATCTTTCGAAATCAAGAAGGATTAAAATCATCCCACTGGAACAACCTTAAACAGTTCAACTGGGCCAAATTCCTATTGGACTGGCAATATTTTAGGGACAACAACCTTTTGCTCCTAAACAGGAAAGTACGATGGTTCCTAACTACAGTTTCGCGAAAGGATCGAATTGCAAGGGTTCAAGAAATCGATTGAAACTTTTTTACCTTTTTTACATTACATCTAAATGCAGTACTTTTTTCAACAAAAAAATCTCGTCCATTTTTAACTTTGTTTTTATTTTTATTTTTTTCTTCACTGTGTTAAATTTCATTTTTTTTTTAAATATGTTTTTTATTTCTAAACGTATCGATTTGAAATTTCGACAAAATGTAGATCTTAATAATGACAATTAATACATTAAAAAAAAATGTTTCGATTTTAACATACAGGGGGCGCTGGTGATAATTTGAAGTAAAATTTAACAACTTATAAAGGGTAAATAATCGAAGAAGCAACTTTGTTTTATAAATTTGAGTACCCTATTAAAAATGCCATATTGATCCAGATAAGGAAACTAATATGGATTTATATGGTTCTATATGTCCTATATGGAACGACCTGGTTTACACTTTGAAATTTATATGGTTTAATATGGAATTTCATTTTAAAATGTACAACTTAGGGATTTTTATATGGATTTATCTGGTTTCTGTTTTATGTGTTTTTCCATATAGGTTTCCCTATATGGTTGAATATGGAATTCCATTTTAAAATGTATATATATTTAAACAAAAATTGCATATTAAACCATATAGATTCCCCTATATGGTTAAATATGGATCTATAAGGTAATAATTTTTTCACACCCAAACCATATTGGGCCAGATAGAGCAATATGAACCTATATGGCAATCCATATTTTCTATATGGTTTTCCAGGTATGGAATTCTATCTGGTTCAATAGTGCAATGCCTGTTTCAAATTCCTATATTGAACCAGATAGATTTTTATTTTGTGTTTCTATATGAAGTATTCATATTTGACTATGGAACGCCGTTTTATCATTTAATCAATCAGTTTAAAAGTTACCAAAAAATTCATCTAACTTGTAAATTCGCGTTATTTCATTGTTTGAAATTCATGCTAGATGCAAAAGTAATTTCAAAGTATGAAATTCGCTGCATTAAAATGTTTGAATTAAACTGATTGGAAAAGAAAATTATACAGTAATTTTAATGTTTGAAATTAACAGCGTCAATTTCAATCAATGGAATTTACTTACGTTATTTCATTGAATGGAATGCACAATTTCAATGATTAAAATTAACCATTTCAAATTTTAAAGAATAAAAATAAAATTTGTATTTGCGTATTTCATTTATTAAAAAGAAGCAAGTTGAATTCCATTCACTGAAATTCCGAATTGCATTCAATCAAGTTTCATTCAATGGAATTGTACATTCCATTCAATGAAATTATGAATTCCATTCAATGAAATTATGAATTTCATTCAATCAAATTGTGCTTTCCATTCAATGAAATTACAAATTTCATTCAATGAAATTACGAATTTCATTCAATGAAATTACGAATTTTATTCAATGAAATTACGAATTTCATTCAATGAAATTACGAATTTCATTCAATGAAATTACGAATTTCATTCAATGAAATTACGAATTTCATTCAATGAAATTACGAATTTCATTCAATGAAATTACGAATTTCATTCAATGAAATTACGAATTTCATTCAATGAAATTACGAATTTCATTCAATGAAATTACGAATTTCATTGAATGAAATTATGTATTTCATTCAATGAAATTGTGCATTCCATTCAATGAAATTGTGAATTTCATTCAATGAAATTATGTATTTCATTCAATGAAATTATGAATTCCATTCAATGAAATTATAAATTTCATTCAATGAAATTGGGCAATCCATTCAATGAAATTATGAATTTCATTCAATGATGATGATTGTGTTATTTCGCAGTGTGTACCAGATGATATCCATGCGCATTGAGTTCCAGATGGTTGTGTCCATGCGCAGTAGGTACCAGGTGGTTGTAACCATGCGCAGTGGGCACCAGGTGGTTGGATCTTTGCGCATAAGGTACCAGGTGGTTGGATCCATGCGCAATAGGCAGCAGGGGGTTGGCACCATGCGCAGTGGGCACCAGGTGGTTGTATCTTTGTGCATTACGTACCAGGTGGTTGGATACATGCGCAGTGGTTACCAGATAAAATCCATTAGGCCGCGCATAATAAATATATTATAGCATATTTAAATTTTAATGAATCATGTATGCGCATAAGGTAGGTACTAGATGATTGGGTTACTTCGCATTGAGTGCCAAATGGTTGTGTCCATGCGCAGTAGGTACCATGTGGTTGTAACTATGCGCAGTGGGCACCAGGTGGTTGGATCTATGCGCACAAGGTACCAGGTGGTTGCATTCATGCACAGTGGTTACCAGATCGTTGTATCAAAGCGCAGTAGGTACCAGGTGGTTGTAACCATGCGCAGTGGGCACCAGGTGGTTGGATCTATGCGCATAAGGTACCAGGTGGTTGGATCCATGCGCAGTGAGTACCGGATGGTTTTGTCTATGCGCAGTAGGTACCAGGGGGTTGTTACCATGCGCAGTGGGCACCAGGTGGTTGTATCTTTGCGCATTACGTACCAGGTGGTTGGATCCATGTGCAGTGGTTACC